AATCATCGCTCTTGAATTTTCTCGAGTCAATTCCATTTTCTCAACGACTAAACAAGTTTGACAAAACCTTGCGACAAGACCGAGAATCTTTTTTTTAAATAAATAAATGGTATTCGATTTTTAAAACCAAGGAGTTTTCAATTAAAAAGATTTTAATATGACAGGAACAGTGGAAATATTCCATTCCCGATACTTTTAGTGCAGCCTAGGTATCGACGGGAATCTTAGACATAATCGTGAGGGATAGTTTCGTCCTTTATAACACTTAACCGCCGTTTTTTCACTCTGCCATTTCGGTAAAAGCTTAAAACAAATTGAATTCGTAAAATTTATATCATCACATTTTCAAGACGCCGTTTCACGGCGAAGGCCTGATCAATACTCTAACTGTAAAACAGTTAGAGTAGCATACCATTCTGCATTAACCGTTCTTAGTTCCTCAAGAGGGATAGTCGTAACATGGCCGGTTTTGGAGACAAACGTGGCCACCATTTTTTTTTTGCAACACCCTTGAACGAACAATTTTTGTTGTCTTAAACTAATTTTCGAACACCCAAAAACGTGACTGGTTTTTTGTTTCGGGTTCAAACGCGTATATGCAGGATTCGTCACCTGATACGATGTTGTACACAGCATTTGAGGATCCTGCGTGGAATCTTTAAAGAGTTCTGATGCACCAAGTAACGCGAGCCGTTTTTTGCTTTTCGCAGAGCGAATGCTGTATCCATCGGTAAAACATGGTTCATGCAAGATTATTTGTATTTGACTCATGCCAATGTCTAAAGTTGCCTGAATTTCGCGGTATGTCACATGTCGATCTTCCTCAATCAGCTTACGCACAGCATCAACGTTTTCTTGGGTGACTGCAGTTTTTGGACGACCTTGACGGGGATCATTACTGAGCTTGACACGTCCACGTTGAAATTCAGCAAACCAGCGATAAATTGTGGTTTTGGATGGGGCTTCATAACCAAATGCAGAAATCATCCGGTCAACACACTGCTTTTGTGTTAAACCACTTCGAAAGTCATAATAAATCATCGCTCTTGAATTTTCTCGAGTCAATTCCATTTTCTCAACGACTAAACAAGTTTGACAAAACCTTGCGACAAGACCGAGAATCTTTTTTTTAAATAAATAAATGGTATTCGATTTTTAAAACCAAGGAGTTTTCAATTAAAAAGATTTTAATATGACAGCAACAGTGGAAATATTCCAATCCCGATACTTTTAGTGCAGCCTAGGTATCGACGGGAATCTTAGACATAATCGTGAGGGATAGTTTCGTCCTTTATAACACTTAACCGCCGTTTTTTCACTCTGCCATTTCGGTAAAAGCTTAAAACAAATTGATTTCGTAAAATTTATATCACATTTTCAAGACGCCGTTTCACGGCGAAGGCCCGATAAATATTGTAAATGTGTAAATAAGTAATAATGTATGTAAATAAGTAAATGAATCTCGTAAAAAGAATTGAACCCAAAACACATTTCAACTTATTAGTTTAAAGGTGTTGTTTCAAAATTTTTTTGTTCAGTTTTACATATTACGAGGGCTGCACTGAAAATTTCGGGAATCAAGGAAGAGTGACACAACATTACAATTTAAAAATGTATTTATTGCTTTTCGAAGTTTTCTCCGCGAAATTTGACACATTTTTCCATACGATGGAACCAATCATTAAAGCAACCATTCCATTCGGAAGTCGGGGTCTCCAAAATGGCCGTTTTGTAGACGTCCACAGCTTCTTCAAGTGATGAAAATCTCTGTCCACGCAATTTATTCTTTATTTTAGGGAAAGTATAGTATAATCTTTTTTTTAAATAAATAAATGGTATTCGATTTTTAAAACCAAGGAGTTTTCAATTAAAAAGATTTTAATATGACAGGAACAGTGGAAATATTCCATTCCCGATACTTTTAGTGTAGCCTAGGTATCGACGGGAATCTTAGACATAATCGTGAGGGATAGTTTCGTCCTTTATAACACTTAACCGCCGTTTTTTCACTCTGCCATTTCGGTAAAAGCTTAAAACAAATTGAATTCGTAAAATTTATATCATCACATTTTCAAGACGCCGTTTCACGGCGAAGGCCCGATCAATATTCTAACTGTAAAACAGTTAGAGTAGCATACCATTCTGCATTAACCGTTCTTAGTTCCTCAAGAGGGATAGTCGTAACATGGCCGGTTTTGGAGACAAACGTGGCCACCATTTTTTTTTGCAACACCGTGAACGAACAATTTTTGTTGGCTTAAACTAATTTTCGAACACCCAAAAACGTGACTGGTTTTTTGTTTCGGGTTCAAACGCGTATATGCAGGATTCGTCACCTGATACGATGTTGTACACAGCATTTGAGGATCCTGCGTGGAATCTTTAAAGAGTTCTGATGCACCAAGTAACGCGAGCCGTTTTTTGCTCTTCGCAGAGCGAATGCTGTATCCATCGGTAAAACATGGTTCATGCAAGATTATTTGTATTTGACTCATGCCAA